CCAAATTAAAAACTACATAAAATTAAGTCCTTGCACCTGCTCTGCTTCCTAGGGGAATAGCAATATTAATGTATGTAGAAAGTGTGGCAAGACAGAGAACTTTCTATACAGGCAACAATATTTTCTGACACTGAACACTTCCTCAGTTATCTTCATTGTATTAAAATATATCCAAGAGACAGAAAGCCACATTCATGTCACCAAGTACTGAACACCAATTGCATTTTTAGAAGGAGCTTTCTGTGTAATAAAAGCCTAATCTTTCTATTTTAATTTGTCTTCTGATTTTTCTCTAGTTTTTAATTCTACCATGGGATGTGAACTGTGGCCTGTCCTAACATTTTTATGGCCAGCAAATTAATTCCTCTGGGCTTCAGACGGTTCATGACCTGGAGTGAAGACCCTAAGGCCTCAAATTCACAACTGACCCGTAAGGACTTCCTTCAGCTGTAGCAAACAGAAGTGTTCAGATGAGCTTGCAGGAATAACAGGCTTGAAATGGCTCTGATGGCGCTGCAGACCCGTAAGGGCACTTGGGCAGAAGGGTTACAATAAGGGATCAGCTTTACCACCAATTCTTGCATGATGTAGAGCCAAACACTTAAACTCCTTCCCTTTACTACCCCCTTTTTTTATTACTTGTATTTCAATATTGGCACCCTTTATAAATACCCTGCTTTTTTTTTTTTTTTTTTTTCAAGAAGTACTTTTATTTACCCACTTGTCCAAAGCAAATACACCAACAGTATTTTGTTACTATTGCATGCTTGGAATAGAAATGTTCATAGAGTACTTCCTCCTCCCGAGGGCATTGAAGTGACGGCAACCTGCCATTAAAATCACTCTTTTTAAGTAACCCAATCATCTCTTAATACAGCAAGAAACCATATCAAACAACTGGCTTTGATAAGTCATCCAATTGCTCTCGATTGGTGGGGGGGAGGGAAAGAAGATACAACGTATCTTTCCTAAGGATACGAAGCTTTCCCTGGGTATTTGCAAATCTTCCATTAAAGCTTGGAAAGCTCTGCAAGTTACATTAAGGATGTTCACAAATCTTTCCCCTCTTTAATAGTATAATTACTTGATTGGTTTGATAATAAATCAAAATCCATGTGAAGAAAGATTCATGTGCTTCATATAAAATGAATCACAGGGAAAACATTTCACAATTAGCTGTCGCTCTTGCCTTACCTGCCATAACTTAAGACACATGGGCATGCCCAGCTTGGCACCCACCTCTGGCTTCAAGGTACAGACTGACGTCTTGGATGGCAGCTCCAAAACCCGAACCTGACATCAGGAAAACAAGAGTATTTGGTCAGGCTCCAGTTCAAAATCCTGCTGTTAAAAACAGACGTCTTTTAAGGTGATTAAGGCTATTTTAGTAAAAACTCTGTCTGGAGGAAACTGGGGATCGTAAGTTGTATCTGTAGGGTAATCCATGGATATCTAAATAAATGCATTGTTTTATGGAAGACCAGAAAAAACTGCTAGAATATAACATATCCTCTTCTTCCCCTCTGCTCTTTCATCTGTATTAGAAAAAAAAAAAATCTTCTTTCACACTGTGGATTACACTGCAGGCTGCTTCATCTAAAAATCACTTCCCCGCTTCCTCTCCTCCCCTTCTCTGCTTTTTCCACCTCTGTTGCTAAGTTTCTGCAGCCGTGGACACTTGCCTTATCTCCTCTGTTCTGGCACAGTAACAGAACGCTTTTGTGGATATATAGGCACCGCATCTATTTAAGGTACATATTTATTTCCTGTTTAACTCTGCACTAGCAAATTTTAAATCTAAGAACTCTCTGCTAATGCAGGCTGGAGCACTGCTGACATACAGGTATTTTTACCACAATATTGCCTGACCCTACTACGAATAGTTCAGACAACATTGCATCAAATTCCTGCGGGCTACATAGCAGCCTCTACTGTTGCTTGTCCTGACGATAATGAATTATGGATCTGATTTCTTTTTTAGCAAAGGGCAAGTCTTTCCTCTGCCAAGGAAGTAGCTCATTCCACCTCGGGATGATGGCAGGCAGGATCAGTGGCGGCTGCCTTTGCAATTTGGCACTGGCAGGTTTTGAGTCTCTTGACTGACACAGAAGCATTTTGCTCTGGGCTTATTCTTGAGTCGGTAACTATGGAGAAAGTGAAGTTCTTAGGTATCAAAACACACTGCCAGGAATATTTCTTTCCATATCCCTGTTCCTCAAATGCATACTTAAGATCACTGGGGTGATCTTTTATTTGAATTCAATAAACAATTGCCTGCATTTTTTCATAAAATTAAAGGACTTCAAACATTTGGTAAATGCAGGATCACCAGATATCCTGGGTTATTTCAGCATGTGCAAAGGCCAAATCTTGCTGTTGGACAGCCCCAGTCACGTGCATTTCCTCAGGCATCTGCGAGGAGGTGTTAGAGGAACACGGCTCCTCGGGGAGCCGTCCAGCAAGGCCCCGGCAGCTGCCATGGCTTTCCAGTCCCATACCCTTGGTTCCAAGCTGGCCAGAACATCTTCCTATTTCTACAGAGTGTCGCCAGCCGCCCAAAGGCACCTGCACTGCAGCACCACGAGTCCACAGAGCGCTGGGAACATCTCCCAAAGCCGGGGAACGGTGCAGCTGGAGACCGCTCTCCCACTTTGAGGGATGGGGACTACAGCAAAGACCATTCAATGCAGGGATGAAACCTGGGAACAGGGCAAACCTTGATCATCTGGGAATTTGGTTTTTTGGAGCTATGACATGAACAATTTTTTTTTCTTGGCAACTTTCTTGCTATCAGCATAGTAACCTAGTTAGCCATGCCAGCAAATGGGCTGTAAATATGATGACCTGCTCTCATGTAGCATCTTTCCTCACCAGCTCTCCAAAGAGCATTACCTGCTAGATCCCAGGAACAAAAGACTGACCCTGCAACTTTACATAACAAAGAAAAAGATATCACTGTGAAAAATGCACCTCTGCAGGTTAGAAGAAAACACTCCTTGGCTTTGCCTTAATTCAAAAGGAAGAACTGACATAAGGGCTGTAGTTGGGCTTGCCAAGAACAAAGGAAACCACCACGAGAAGAGCTTTTTGCAGAAGGCAGTCAGGCACCATCTGCCTGTGCTAGACTGACAGTTCGAGAGACTGTCTGCATTAGAGGCAACTAAGCCTCAGAAATAAATACTATTTCATATATTCTGACAACTGTAACCTAAAACTTGAAGTTCTGTGTTTATATTGGTTTTGCTTAATAGGAGAAAGATTTGCCTTTGCCTGGGGTTAATAGTGTTCCTGGGTGGCTAAAACTGGCCACAAGGAAACACACCCTTTTTCTTTTTCACATTAATAAAGCTTTTAACATGTTTCTGGCAAATTGGCAAGAAAAGTGCATGTAACTCATAATTGGTGATTTAAATGCAATCATGAACAAATAAATGCCTGTTCAGATCTCATTATTTATGGACTGAACCTGCTTTAAGACAAAATTACTCTTTTTTGGGCACCAGCCAAGCATAAACACTTATTAAGTCTTAATTTTAATCATAAGCCGCAAATGTACTGTGTCTCACACAGTGCTGCCTATCTGGAAACACTATATATTATGGGAGCTTATGTGAATTTATGGGATCCTGACACAGTCTAATGTAAAGGTTCATACACAGAGTGGAACTCCTTTACTTTGGGAGACAGCAAATCATTATCCATTCGCATGGCCCAGGGTTACAAGCGAAAATAAAATAGAGATGAGTCCTATAAAGGAAGGAAAAGACAGTGGGGTAAATGTCTTCTATTCAGATTAGATGATTATTTAATTCTTCAGTAACAAAATACACGTGTGTATAACTTCTTCCTCCCTGACACAAAATGGACTTTTCAATTTTGTTTAAGTTAAATATTACAAAACGCTGCTGTAAAATGGATGCAGCTTTTTTGTTCCATCAGAGCAATGTACACGACTTACAATGGTTGTATTTACTGGTCACAACAGTTGTGTTTACTGACTTGCTCCAGCCTACAAAATGCTGAACATTCTGGCTGTGATCCAGCAAAGTGTTTAAATGTGTGCATAACTTCTGAATAATAAAACGTTCATATTCTCTTGCAATGCAAGCACTCTTCCCATTTACTTTGTATCTATACAATGTAATTCTCAGTTTCAAGAGAGATGCCTTAAAATCTAGAAAAATATGTGGCCTTTTATGACCACGAATAATTTGCAATTAGCTACAATATTTCATTCAACTGGGTCATTTTCTTTTTTTTTTATTTTTGGTATTCTGATTAATTTAATTTAGTCTGATCAGCACAAATAGTCTATCCAAGAAAACAATAAGGCGATCCCTACAAAACAGAAGTAGAAATTGCCTGAAAAAAAGAGATATCAGTTAATGCTGGCTGATAACGGGTAGTAGGTGTGGAGGTATCAAGCAGAAAATGCCGCCCGCAAGCATCTTGCACAGAGCCAATCTCTGGTAGCTGAGGGTCATTCCGCTCCTTGCAGGCCACGTACCACTAAAAGGATTAGCCCGGGGTGAGGGACCGCGCAGCTCGTCACGGATCACGCACACCTGCCCTCTCCCAGCGCCCGCGCCCGCGGGACGAGCGTCTCTCCCTGACGACGGACTCCCTGACCGTTAGTTCCCCAGATGGAAGCTGGATCCCACTAACAGAATTCAGCAGCGGCACCAGAGGAGTTTTGGAAACTCCTGCACCTGAAAGACCAGCAGCAGCAGCTGCAAATATTTCTATGTCAGACAAAACCTGGGACAGTTTGTTATTAGCACAGGAGTTATATAATTAGGTCACCTTTCTGGCAGGTAAAGTGAGCAACCCCAAAAGGTTCCTTGTCCCACATTTTCTTGTGCAGAGTATCTGACAGCCCTTTTGCACTATCTTGTTTAAGAAACTAAAGCAACCCATGGCCAAACACCAGAAAAAGAGATATTTCCTACCTCCTCTAGGGACTTGGCTGCCATGGCCATTAGCCAGCGCCCCTGGGCCACCTTTAACAGAGAGCATCGGCAGAATCCCACGTTCTCCGTGAAAACGGAATCCGTCACTGAAGTCCGTCCTTCTGCTAAATCCCACAGGCAGATCCTTTGGTCACGACCCTGACTTTTACAATAAAACAAGTTGTTCTGTCAGCAGCAGACTGAGGAAACCTGCCTTCCTAGAGGTAAGCTCTCAAAGATGGGTCTTTGGCTTCTACTAAGTCTTACTACAGTTTTTCCTTTTATTGGGATATTAATAGGGTCTTTTATGAAATGCGTGAGAACTCACTGGCACTGAGACCTCCACCCTTTACTGACTGTGAAACTCGTCAACAGGTTCAAAAGCTACTAGGAGGAGGGAGGACTTGTTAGATACTCTGCTATCCCAGTAAGCCACATTTCTTTAGGAAGACAGACTTGATCATACACAGTAATCCTGTTTTTATGTGCAAATATTTACGAATACTTACATTTTGGCGTTGGTGATACTCAATTTAAAAGGATTAGAACCCGAAGTATACAGAGTACACCTAATTTAACACTTTTACCCTAGCAGTGTCATACAAATATCAGGCATGTTGACAACTCAAAGAAACAAATAGCAGGTCAACAAAGACCACATGAAACATTAAAAAAAAAAAAAAAAAAAAAAAAAAAAAAACTACAGTTACTCAGTGGGCATCTACTCACAGTTACAGAGATGGCATGGAGGGTTCTTACCATCATGTGTGTGTGGAGGAATGAGAGGAGAGGAATAAGCAATACTGTGAGTAGATGGAATTAAATAATGGAATATTATGGCTGAAACATCCATGCAATGGAGGGGCTGGGGCTGCACCACAGATGTGTGGGGGCAGCTCAAGCAGAAACTCTTCTGCCCATCTCTCCTCCTACAAAAAATCCTGTGTGTTGGGCCCATAACGTGAGACTGAGGAGGCCAGAAGGGTAGAATTTGTACTGTTACACATTGATGTGATCCCAGTTACCCAGAACAAACAACTACTGTGCAGAAGCTAGAGTTGTTTCAATCCAGACTACAGTAGCAGAGGATACCTGCCCTCATGTTATCACCTGGAATAAGGAGTCATCAAACATAACCTCTCCATACATCATTTTAATTAGCAGTATCACTTGACAGGCATATGAAACCAAAACAGAGGTAGACGCAAATCTACAGACTGTTGAGACAGCAACATAAACACAGAAACTCTCAACTATTGTTCAAGTGAGAAAATATCAAAACACGGGCAGCACTGGACAGACATACAGCATGGTACTGCAAGAAATTGCTGTGATTTAGCTTTAGAGAAATATAGGTAACTGTTTTCCTAAATTTACATTGCTATGTGAACTGTTATAAATATATAGCAAAAATAGGGGAAAAGGAAAAACCCTATAATTATACAAGCAATACTCATTCAGTATGATTTTATAGGGGAGAGAGTTGATAATTATACTTAAGCAGATAACAAACATAAATGCTAATGAGCTCCACTGTATATTATAAGAGATGTCTTCTCTAGATAAACATGTCAGAACATCTCCAAGTCGCACAGACACTCTGGCATCTGCTCTGGTCTAGATCACCTGTGTAATCCAAAGTACACAAATCTTCCCGACCTTCCCTTGCTAAAAGAGAACAATAGGCAAAGAAATGCAACTCGGAATTCCTGCTTATTTTCAGTGCCTTCCACTCTCCATCTCTGATACTTCTCTTCCTTCCTCACTTCCCCTCTCTTCCCTTCTTATAAACTCTTTGCTTTAAATCTGATCTTTCCTGGAAACCAGTTGTGAAATATTTGTCAGCTTCCGATCCAAGTGCATTTGTTTTTCCCAAAGACCTGATCTCAGTGCAGCAACACAAGACACTACAGACCCCAGGCTGCCATGATGTAGTCACACATGTATCATAAACAAACGGATCATTCTGTTTTTTCCACTTTTATTTTCTGTACTTCTGTACATTTTCTGTATGCATTGAGACTTTCAGTGACTCCAGAAATAACACATGCCCTTTTTAATCAAGTAATTACAGAAACAAAAATAATTTCTCCTGTTTTTTTTTAACTGCTTCACCAACCTGAGCAGCTTGTCTTTAGCACCCATCGTCTCCACCCAGTAGACAGACTTTCTTCCATGCCCATCCAGTGCTGTGTCCACTCTGCGTGTTTTCAGGTTCCAGACATGGACAAAACCATTCTCAGACCTAGTGGTAGGAACAGAAGGCATTTAGTGTGACCATTTCTTGACAGTGAGGGTGCCAGAGCACTGGAACAGGCTGCCCAGAGAGGTTGTGGAGTCTCCTTCTCTGGAGATCTTCAAACCCGCTTGGACGCAGTCCTGTGCCACGTGCTCTAGGTGACCCTGCGTGTGCAGGGGGGTTGGACTAGATGATCTCTAGAGGTCCCTTCCAACCTTAAGCATTCTGTGATTCTATGATTACAACCTGCTAACACTGTCTGATGCCTTTTTTCCCCCCCAAAACTGAAGCTATATGTACACAGATAATACACCCATCACCAATCATGTATTTTCTTGCTTTCACAGATATTATTTATCTAAGCAATACACCTTGTCTTAAAAGGAAATGTCTGTATGATGCTCAACTCAGCCGTAATTCTTGGTCAAAGATTTACTTGCCCAGAGAAAAGAATTGGGAAATCAGGTTCTTGGCCTCCACAGGAAAAATGCAGAGTGTGGACTGCAGCACTGGTACCTCTTAGGACAAACTCTGGATCCGGAGGTGGCAGAGCCATCAGAGCAGTGAACTGGGGGGAGAGAGGAAGACAGACAACACAGAGGGTAAGCCTGAAGTGAAACTACAGTTTTACATTTATTTTGCTCAGAACATTTGCATTCTCAGTCCCTTTCCATCTGAATTGCCATTACTGGATGTTATTTCTATTTGCCACACAGTTCTGCATAAAATGTGTCCTCCTAACACGTACTGATCAAGCATGCCCGAAGCTGCAAGGCTGCCGAGCCAGCCGTGCGGACGCACCTCTCACACACTCATAGGTACAAAGCGTTCAGCTACTCTCCACCTTGCAAAGAGGACCAACTAGTAAGAGCTATGGGATGCTGGACACTGGGTACTCAGAAATTTAGTGAGCAAGTTATCACTTAGCCCCTCGGCAAGTCTTCCCCCTTCCAATTAATTCCAATTCTGTGCTTTCTATTGACAATCATCTATAGGAAAGCATGGGAGTGACTCTGTCAGCTAAAAAGAATTTCCAATGAGATTAGAACTATAATAATTTTTACACAGAATTCTCGTTACACTGAAGTGCTTCAATTTTTGCTTCCTTGTTGAGAAAAGAAATGCAGCATTTCACCCCAACTTTGTGACTGCTGTGTTAAACATTTTATTCCAGAGGTTTGTATTCCTACAAATAGGAAAACGATAGGGAGCAATGTGGAAATGGATACTTTCAGCTCTATGTTTTTGGTTTAAATACAGGCCAAGTCAGCAAAGAACAAGATGAGCATTGATCAGAAAGCACGTATCTTTTGTGAAACGTGAAGCACAGTTTACCATGAACTAACAAGAATAGTCTGTATGAACTGATTAGACATGCTCCTACCGACCTGGCACCTTCATAAAATATTTCCGCAACAGAAAAAAAGACCATTTGACTCAGCACCCTTGATGCTTCTGCAGGATCTGCCCGCAAAGAGGAAGGGCAACAGCAACTCTCCCTTGTGCCTGCTGGGCCTCTGTGGGGGCCAGGTAACTAGCAGCTCCTATGACTGTAAACAAAACTGGCAATTCACTGGAAAATACATCATAACACCCAGTACAAAAGCTGCCTTCACTGCTTTCTGTGAGGCACTGCTAGCCACGCTTCTCCCTTCCTGACCTGTGTTCAGGCAGTCTGCAAAGGGCAGCTTAGTCACAACAGATGTCAACTCCCACCGTTCTTTTGCATTCATGTTAGACCAGACTTAAAAAAAAGCTTTCTAAATGGTGTAGAAAGCAGCAGGTATCTGCCTGCTAGTTCAAAGCAGAGGGATTGCAAAGAATCAGAATGCAGCAGTAGAGCTACAAGTAACAGAGTAAATTAAAACAGCTCAATTTTTAATTGTCACCTCACACCAGCATCAGCTTTTGAATTGGGTTTAATGGAAGTACTGGCTATTGCCACTCATTTGCAATTAGTGTTCTGGGTCTAACTTGGGGTTTTATAGATCACTAATCACTATGGTATCTATAGGTTCTAATTAAATAAAATTACCTAGTGATGAAACAGATTTTTTCGGCATAATGTACAGTTCTCCCTTGGTAGCAAGGTGTAATTACATACAAAAATAATGAGCTCAGTGGATAACCCTCATGTTTTAGTGCCCTGACTCATGTGTTTTATGGTATGTCTGATAATCCAGACTCATGACAGGACGGGGTATATTTCGAGATGATTACATACATGCTTTATGGGTTCGCGCCGTGCTGAGATCCAGTCCCAGGTGCCTGTCTGCAACGCGCTTCACCTGCGGTATTAGCCTGCCTCTTAGAACAAGGTTTTATCAATGAAGAGCCCCTCATTGGGACACCACAGCTGTATCCTACTGCCCTCAGAATGATGCTTTGTAGAACTGCATGAATAGCACAGCTAGAGGAGCACTGCCCCTCTCTGGGCTGCTGTGCAAGGAATGGAGCAGAACGGAGCCAATCCAGAGGCTGTCTGTGATTACAAGGCAGGTTTTTAATAGCATTTTTCTAATTACCGACAGAGAAGTTTTTGCTGACAGACAGCGAGTGTGTGCGTGGCTGTGGGGAGGCCTTTAGCTGGCACGGAACAGACGCTTCGAAAGCGTGTCTTCACAAGGACAACACTTCAAGACATCCTCAAACTAGACGTAGGAAACAAATAACAACTGTGTATACACTTCTGAGCTACAGCAAATGAGGTGAATCTTCCCTGCTTGGAGCCTCCTTTTTTGCTTTGTTTTTGCTAATCTGATATACCACTCTGGAAGCTGTGCTTAACGCTGACTGCATGTCATTTTCTGCTGTGCATATGAAGTGACTGGTTGCCAACGGCGATGAGTGTTGTGTGACAGTACCGAGGGTCTCGCTTTCTCCTTGCAGGCGGTACAGTGCTTTGGGCCTGAGGCAATGACCTACATAACTATAAATTTGCGTCCCGGCTGCCTTCTCCTACCATAAGCTTGGAAGACTAACAGTTTTATTAAAAGTTCTCGGGTATCTAAAGCAGCCCAAAATCCCATAAGAATGAAGGAAATTTTTTTTTTTTTTTAAAGTTTGGCGCAGTGGTGCTTTAGAAGCCAGAGAAGGCACCCATGTGCTTCTGCTGCCATATATGTATCCCCAAATGTATGACAGACATTTAGTTGAAGCTACCTTCAACTCTGAGGTAGCTCAATATCCCCGCTCAAAGGGATAATGAAGAACATATTCGTATAATGATACTAAGAGGTAATGGTTACAACGTGCTTTGCTAAGCAGGCAGCTATAAACACACTAGAGGTAAGACTGGCTGATGGTTAAAGCCCCTGGGTAAGTTTTTCAGAAGAACCTAAGCGATTTAGAAGCCTGAGACTCCTTTTCATATGAGCTTTCAATCCTAAATCTCTAGGACTTTTTGAAGTTTTACCCCAGGTGTCTAAAAATGAGTTCTCTAATTAGCACAACATTTATTTTCTTGTTAACTCCATCTAGCCTCAGGGAAACCAATCCATTCTTGTTGTAACTGGGAATATCTGTAAGTAAATTTAATTAAGTGAATTTACTTAGTATTTAGGCTGGTCTGAGAGCAAAATCTTGCTCAAGGGCTTGAACTAGCAAAATAAAATCTACAGAACAAAGATTCACTTAAAAGTATTTCGAGTAAAAGTATTTGTGAAGTTTGTCCTGGGATACCCACATCTTTTGGCTCACTTCAGCATACCTGAAGGGTATGAATTGTTTTTCCATGTCACTGCTTAGTTGCAAGAAGGTATCACCGGTAAGAGATGCAACACTTCACCACCATGTTCTTATTTTTTAAAAGGTATTCCCCTTTCTTCCTTCTAGCCTTCCCTGTGCTGGTAACAGCCTGCTCCTCCGGGATCTCATCCATACTCCACAAGGATACAGCAACCCTGAGGTATTCTTGACAAGGCGCACGGTGAGCACTAGGGCCTGCATGCAGACTGTCTGGTACACGAGCAATGAGGGGAGAAACCCAGCTGTTCAAATTTGTGTTTCGATAAGCAAAGGGCCACATGTATGACACATTAGGTACTAAAAAAGGTTTTGTCTAGCAAAATATGCTTCTGCCATATGCCAAAACAGTTGAATCTCATTCAAAATTACATTCTCTAAAGAATAATTCATTATTAATATCCTTCACAAAACTTGCTTTGTTTAGGTTGCAATTAGAATAATCTTCAAGCCATTTGAATTTCTATACAATGGTATTTCGGTATCATCACTTCAGCATTTGATATAAAAAGTTAAGCTTTTATTTAATGAGAGTCATTTAAAATATGTAAATGTCAAAAGGATTACCTTAGAAAAATCTCTCAGAGAATTACAAACATTAACAGATTCCCACAGGAAAAATTCCAGCAGAATTCAGCAACTCTCCTGTTCCCACTCCTGTCACTTGAATTTCTATCACACATTGAAGCAAAAACAAATTGCTATTAAAATATCATCCAAACAGCCTCCCTGCCGCAAACTTTGCAGTTCAGTTTGAGATACCACCGGCTTGAGCAAAGACAAAAAACCCACAATGTTAATTCTTCTTTTCTGTAGCCTCATTTTAAGTAAAATCTTGTGTGTAAAAAGAGCTTTTTCAGGTATAGGAGAAATAAATCTCTCTGGGCATGTCTAGTAAACTGATTGGGGGCTAAAGCTAGCAGGTGTGCAGCCACAATTACTACTGCAAATTACTCAACACATCCAGGTGTGTTCACCACCAGATATACAAAATCCCTGTTATTTTTTAGGAATTCCTAGTCTACCAGGTGCCACCCTCCCAGAGGAAGAGTCAGAGCAAAGAATGAGTTGAAGATGTCAATAACTTGCTCTTCCCCATTTCCAGGCTGTTTCTATTCCTTCACTTAACGCTCCTTTTGGACTGCAGGGCTCTGCCTGCTGTGCTGCATGGGCACATTGCACTGCACAGCTGGGGTTTCCACACAGAGCAAGTCACTGGCACGAGCAGATTCCACCAGACGAACGGTGCAAGACAAGCAGTGTGGTTGGTTCTGCCACATTCACCACCTTCAGAGTTAAAATACAGCGGGCAGCCCCCACACCACGAGCTTTCCAAATGCAATTCTGGCTATCTCGCCACAAACATGTGGGGCCATCTCCCTGGCTGGAGAAGCACCGCTATAACACGTCTGCCCGGGACCTCTGTGGCTCCAAGTGGCCTCCCCAGATGACGCGGTGGGACAGGCACCTCCAGCACCTGCCCGCACAGGGGCAGAGGTGGCCGCAGAGATGGCTGTGAGGTTCAGAGCCTGCAGTATGTTCACTCACCATCTCCTGACAGCAGCAACCACCCTTCTGGTGGGAAGCTCCACTTTATGTCTTTGGTGCTCAATGTAGTTCTGGACTGTGTTATATTCATAGGGTTTCTTTAAAGCTAACTTTAAAAATGATTTAGAATTTAAAAATAATTCAAGTAGAATCACAGAATGCTGAAGGTTGGAAGGGACCTCTAGAGATCATCTAGTCCAACCCCCTGCACACGCAGGGTCACCTAGAGCACGTGGCACAGGACTGTGTCCAAGAGGGTTTTGAAGATCTC